ATATATATATATATATATATATATATATATATATATATATATATATATATATATATATATATATATATATATATATATATATATATATATATATATATTGTATGTGTGTGTGTGTGTGTAATATGGGATAATTATTAAACATGTGATATGTATTTCTTGCCATCTCTAACCCTGATTAAATTATTAGTTATATTCATGGAAGCATCACACAAATTCATTAATCATTTTAGGGCATCATACAAGGCTATAGTCATAATTTACAGAGTTTGGGTTTCTCAGTAGTTTGAATTCAAACCAAATACCCAGATTATGGCACAGCACTATGAAATCTATCTAAGCTAGCAATCACTATGCTTATTTCTATAATCAAAGTGTAAATCCATCAAACATGCCATTTTTAATAGTGGCAGAGATGTTTCTAGTTCTTCTTGTCTGCTCCGAAATGACTAATACTTATTGTAATTTGGCTGGGCATGTTTCACTTAATGACCTGTGTAGTAAAAGATTGATGAGAAGCATTACAACATAATTCTAAGTCTGCAAGCGAGTTGCTGATTCTGGGAGAGATCCATTATAGTCCTGTAATATTTTTTTTTATAAGACCGGGATCTAATTATAAGAGGATTGATGAAAATAATAGGGTTGCAGGATAAAGCCTTCATAGTTTTTTCCCCTTATTATGGAAATTGCATTCTCTAAGGGAGACTCTCCTGAAAATAGAGAGCCTTGTGGCAATACTGCTTACTGGCAAGCTTTAGACATCAGAAGCAATTAAAAATTAAGGAACTACAATGTCACAGAAATAGCATAAACAATGGGGAGGTGGTTGGATTCAGCTTAGGAATGACTGCAAGATAAGCAGGGGTTGAAAAATGTATTATTTATTTTCCAGGATGGCTTTCTACGTAAACTAGCAATCACCACCTCCCCATGAAGCAAAATCTGAACCTAGTACCGTTCTCTGGTAACAAGCAGGCTTGCCCACAAGAGCCAGGACAGCATTTTCTTGCACCCGGACACTGGTCATCTTGCTTGCATCGATTTCCAATAGGTCCTCCATGACAGATGGCATCAGTGTATGGACAGATACCAGGTTTTACTTTGGAAAAAATATAAGACAGTTTTAAGGATATTTGTAAATAACTGGAACAATTAGAAATGTTGTGATAAGAATCTACCAGAGGGCATGAACAGGGGGGGGAGTTGTACACATAAAACCCTAACCTGTCTAAACTCTTCTGAATTTTCTACGATAAAGTTTCATTCAAAAATAAATATAACACACATGTATTATCATAAAATTATACATATATACAGTATATGGGTCCTTGGTCTAGGACAGGGGTAGGCAACCTTGGCTCTTTTATGACTCGTGGACTTCAACTCCCAGAATTCTTGAGCCAGCCGTGCTGAGGGGAAAGGGAGAGGTTTCCAAGCTGAACCATGCTGGCTCAGGAATTCTGGGAGTTGAAGTCCACGAGTCATAAAAGAGCCAAGGTTGCCTACCCCTGGTCTAGGATAATCCCACATAAGTAGAGCTTCTGCTAACTGCTTCCCAATCTGTTTATAGGGTTACCTAATTCATGGGTATAATAATCTTACATTTTAATCTTCTACTAGTTTTTCTGATTGCATTTGATTTTGTTTCTGTAATTTATGGCCTACATCTTGAACATTGATACTGTTTGTATAGTTAATATGAAAAATATGTTACTAATATATTAGAAATAGTGCCCAGACTTTAGGAATGAAAACAAAAACATTTAACAAATTAAACATAGCCTGGAGAGTTAAAAGGTAGAACATTATGGCTTTGTTTATAGCCGAAAAAATCTTCAACCATTGGGAAACTGTAGCCTGCGTCCCAATTAAAAAAAAACAAACCATGGAAAAGGGGATGATAATCTACCTGGCCTTTTCTATGAGCCAGAAATGGAATAGTTGAAGGAAGCTTACATTTCACCTCCCTGATAGATAGAACTTCAATTCTTACTGACAGTTGCTTTGGCCTGGACAGCTAGAGGTCATCCATCACTCGTGGCAATTCTCCCTACCCCTTGCCCAAATAAGCAACAGCTTCAGGAAGACAATATGAGGCCAACCAAAATCAAACATAAACACCATCTACACACTCAGCATGGCTTTCTGATTTTGAAGCATTGATCCCCTTTTTCTCTTTTTTCTCCCACTGCCCTTTGAGTGCCTTGTTTGTATTTTGACCCTGAGGACAGAGGGTTCTCCCTATCAACTGATGTGACCCTTTTGAAAGGCAAAAGGTTCTCTCAAAAGCAAGATAAAAATGCAGCAAATAGATAAATCTGTATAACCACAGCATGACTTTATTCTCAACTTTTAGAAAAAAAGAAAATAACTTGGTTCTTGAATCCTCATTTCTAGACAAAAACGCAATAAAGGCAACTGGTAGGGGGTTTCTAGTCTGGATGAAGCCCCCAAATATTGTTCTTCCACTTACCTTTGGCTGGATGTGGGACACCTCCAGTGAAGCAAGTTAGTTCTACACAGAAGATAAAAAAGCTAGCGAGAAAAAAAGTGTCAGTTGCTCTCATGGTGCTGTTAGAATGATGTCTACTCTGATCTATCACTGCTGTCCAAGATGGTTTATGATCTTTTACACATAACTTTTGGAGGAAAGAGCACCAGCCGTGTTGTTCTGGAAAACTGCCAGGATTCCTGGTTTTCCAGATTTTCACTGGACTGGACACATGGGCCCTGTTCAAAGCTACTGTTGCTGACTGATGTAACAGTCATTCCATCTCCCTGAGGAATCCTAGGAACTCTGTTGGGGGCAATGAGATTCTAGCAGTGAGAATTCTCAGAATCCTCACTAGACATTCAAAAGGTTTTGGAGAAAGCCTTGATGACAGTTGACCTAATTAGTTCATGAATTGATTAACTATAGCCACCCATCTCACAGCTATGACTCTGGGTAACCCATAGATATAATGTTTTGGCCCCTTCAGAAGAGTTTTCATCCAAAGAGGATGGAGCTGTTGGCCCTCGTGATCCAGTAAAGCTGAATTAGGGCCAGCAAGCTCAAGCCTTAAGTCTATTAAGTATATAGAAATCAATTTACCGTACATGTGACTTAAGAGAATAAAAAGGCATCTGGGATGTTTTTCCTTGGAATGAATACCAGCTTCCAGGAAAGGCATCCCAAGGGTAAGGGTAAATTTGAAAAAAGTTTAAATCTGATCTGAGGTCTAGAGCTTGCTACATATAATCATACAATCATACCTGGCAGCAGAGGGGTACTGAAACATTCTTATCAGCCCTTGCCTCCTAAACCATCTATTGATCTCTCTGTGTTTAAACATTATTACAGCTTCTGCAATATTTTTTTGTTCCAACTGTATCATCAGATTATTTTCATCACTTACATCATGCACAGAGAATACTAGAAAGTTCCCTGCATTTAAAAAACTGAAAAATAGAAAATATTAGAAGAAACCCAAACTTAACTGTGGAGAAACCCAAACTTAACTGCCCCCTCCCATGATAAGGATTTTTCCAGCCAGGATGCAACGATCAGCACTTTGAAGAATAATTGAATTGAAGTAGAGCTGTTGGAAAGAAGCCTTTAATGGCAAGAAACCAAGATGAGTGACATTCAGCAGTTTCCCGGCTAAGTAGGAAGATTGACATCTAAACGTGAGTTTATATACCCTTTTCTGAGATTTCAGTCTAACATATGCTAAACCTGTATTGGGTGACATTTAATCCCGTGCCTAATGATGGTATAATTTTCCTATTTGGCTTTGTTTGGGAAAAAAAGTTAATCTCCATTCCCAAAAAGGGAGCAGAGCTGGCAAATCTGGTTAGTTCCTGTGTCTGTTTGTTTTGTTAATTGGTTTAACAAGTGGCAGTTATTGTGTTAAGTGTTTTGCTACATTTTATTACATTCTTGCGCCAGACTGTATTCTTTGTAGTTTTGTTAATCTCAAGTGTTTGCACTTGGGCTCGCCTGAGGCTGTAAACTCTGGAAATGAGCAAGATAGGCTTGTGTTTTATTTTTAAAAGCATTTAAACTGTTGTGATTTAATTATGTTTGTGATTTAATTTTTTTCTGCCTCATGGTTTCTTCATCTATTTGGGGAGGGGGGGTCTTCCTTCATAACTAAGCAGTAATTGTTAAAGAATGTATTGCAAGCTATCAGCATTAATTCCAACCACTCGAGATATATTGATCTCTTATCTTGTCATTCATATTTGAATCTTGATCCAACTGTTTAGCTAATTAGGAGACTAATTAGTCTTCTAATTAGTCTTCTAATTAGTCCTAAGTCAAAGTACTATAGGTAGTCCTTGAGTTACGACCACAATTGAGCCCAAATTTATGTTGCTAAGTGAAATATTTGTTAAGTGAGTTTGTCCCATTTTACGACTTTTCATGCCACAGTTGTTAAGTGAATCATTGAATTTGTTAAGTTAGTAACATGGTTGTTAACTGAATCTGGATTCCCCATTGACTGCTTGTCAGAAGGTTGCAAAAGCTGATCACGTGACCCCAGGACACGGCAACTGTCATAAATATGAGTCAATTGCCAAGTGTCTGAATTTTGATTTCATGACCGAGGGTTATGCAGTGGTCATAAGTGTAAAAAACACTCATCAGTCACTTTTCAATGCCGTTGTAACTTTGAATGGTCACTAAATGAACTGTTGTAAGTGGAGGACTACATATTTATGCAATGTTTAGTAAAATGGAAATATAACATGGCAATTTAAGGGCAGATCTACAAGATAAAAGCCAATCAGGAAGAAAATACGGCATCCTTGATGTCCTCTGAGCTTTGATGTTTGCTTTGATGTTTGCTTCATCACCAGGATTGTTGTTACCTAGTGAGTAATGAAATGTCTGCAAGCAAACAGCCAAGCTCAGAGACCACCAAGGACTTCAACTCTGAGAGAGAGAGAGAGAGAGAGAGAGAGAGAGAGAGAGAGAGAGAGAGAGAGAGAGAGAGAGAGAGAGAGAGAGAGAGAGAGTGAGAGTCTATGTATTGTGAGCTTATAGTATATAATGCAAGACTAAACTTGTTAACCTTATCAGAGAATCAGACTGCTTCCTAAAGGCTACCACATAATCTACATTAAAATAATGAAATGAAATGTATTCGTTTCAATTTTGCTCTTCCACATATGGTAGCATTCCTAAATTACTGCTTCTAGCATTTTTTAATTTCAGTTTCATATGAAATCATTTCATCTCTTTTATTCTTAACTCCATTTTTTTTCTATCAAGGTCTCTTTCCAAAATAGTTTTAAATTAGAATCAGAATTTGCCCTGCATTTTCTTTTCTGTTTGCAATTGTTTGTCATCCTTTTCTTACTATATTACTTTCTCTACAGTATTTTTCATTCAACCTCATTTTTCTAACATATCTTCCTTTGTAGCCAATGTCATGGTTTCGACAGATGAAACTCTTTAAAAGACCTTTGAGGCATTGTTTACCTTAAAGAATCTTTTATTCGAGAAACAAAGCATCAGCACTACATAGTTAAAGCCAAAAACTGAATTCCCCTCCCCTGGGCACAGAGTAGCAAAGCACAATTCCCTCCTCCAATTAACAGTCATAAATCACATTCCCCTATTAGCTTGAAGCACAGGCTTTCTCCCCAGCTCTCCAGCTGGCCAAATCTTTATCAGCTCTGGGCGCAATAACCTTGATCCCCACGGCTGAGTTATTGTTGTTATGACTAACTGGACTCTCATCCACATCCCCCCTCCCAGCATCATTTAACTCTAAAAGAGAAAGAGAAAAGATGGCTACATTTATGTTAGCAGCATTGACAGCCTCTTTCAAATAAACATACATGCCCAAATATCCAGCTCCTGGCTCTAAAACAGTCCTAAAAATAAGCAATAGATGATGCAGCCACCGGCAGGTTCAAAAAGTAAGATGACAGATACAAATGCAAAGTTTTTAAAAATTCCTCTTTTTTTCTTTCTTTCTTTTTTTCTTTTTTTCTTTCTTTCTTTCTTTCTTTCTTTCTTTCTTTCTTTCTTTCTTCTCTCTCTCTCTCTCTCTCTCTTTCTTTCTTTCTTTCTTTCATCTATCCCTGTGGATGCCTGATACCTGATTCATTTTGTGATGGTCTGTAACCATACTATTTGGGTGGATTCCCCTAACACATTCCAGGACTTTGGATTTTGGTCCCTAGCTACACCATTAATACTGCATTGTTATTTGTAGCTGCATGCTGCAAGACTTAGTCAAGATCACCATTAAAGAGGTATCCTTAGAAAAAGGCCATGCAACCATTACCTCTATTTGCATTAAGCCCATTAAGAGGGCTATATAAGTGATCATGGATTTTGATTCAGCATAAAATTAAGCCATTACAATTTTTCATTGGGGCTGTACTGCCACATCACCACAAGAGGGCAATATGTTCTTTTTTGCAAAACCATCCCTTTTATAGAAACTCCTTAAAGATTTCTGGATATTTGATACCGAATTTCTAACCTTATTGGTTTGCTAATGCTGCCTTTAATACAGAACTGTCCGTAGTTCATGAAATAAAATCAAAACCATTATGACTTAATTTATTTCTTTGGATCTTTTTATGCATATTTGCATTGCATGACTTCCTAATCTCATGTTGACTTCTAGAACATTTGTTATTATTTCCCCAAGATCAAATCATAGAGTTCTGATAAATTCTACAATAGACATCTACATACAGAACATATGGAGATTTATCATGTTAGCTGCATTTAAACTGAAACCTTTGTCCTGGCTTCTGGGTGCTTCCTGGAGTTTTATTCTCTCAAGGTTGTGCACATTCTTATGTTAAAGATCACGTTCACACAACACACAACCCTCTTAATCAGGACAATTAAAAGCCAAGCATGTCATGTGAAACCTGCAACCTAACATTTCCAAATCACATTCAGCACCTTAAGCACAGGAACACAGGGCTTTATGAAAGGCTAACAGGGATTGGGGCCATTATAATCTCTGAAGGGAAGATGTTCCATAGAGCAGGGGCCACTGCAGATAAAGCCCATCTTCTAGACTGCCCCCACACACACACCTCCTTGGCTGACAGGATCTGCAGTATGCCTGTTCTGCTAGATCGGGTTAGGTAAGTAGAGAGACTCTTGGAAAAAAGGCAATTCGTCAAGTACCCCAGTTCCATCCCATATAGGGCTTTAAGGTAACCACCAGCACCTTGAATTGCACTCAGAAGCACACCGGTAACCAATGCAGCTCGCGCAGAAGTGATGTTCCATGTGCCATATATCTGGCAACATTTACTATCCACACAGCTGCATTCTGCACCAGCTGAAGCTTTCAAATGGTCAGAGACAGCCTCATGTAGAATGTGTTACAGCAGTCTAACCTCAAGGTTATAAGGGCATGAGTTACTGTGAGCAGAACCTCCTGGCATGGGTGCAACTGGTGCACCACCTTGATCTTTGTGTAAACTAAGGAGTGGCTTGCCTGAGACATTTACTCACAATACTTTCTAAATCTGGCCTTGGGTCCCTTTTATCTAACTACTGTCTGGGTAGGGCTCGTCCTCCTGTCTTTCAAGATCATTC